AGAAAATTATTACGGCCAAGACCCTGAACCGTAGGATCATGTTTTTCATGTTCTTTCTGCCTTTTTTTCGGTAGGGACGTGAGGATACCGCCAAGGGATCTTTAATGGGTCCGGACAACTGCCTGAATTGTACCCGCCGTTTTCGCGGCAAAGTGACGCCAGGGACCGAACATCGTTTGTAGCCATCGCGTAGCATTCGTGTCCGAACTACGTCACGATGCGTTTCCTGACACGAAGTGATGAAGGTGAACGGACATTTCTCTCAGAGGTAAGCCAACAAATAAGATCGTGGCGACGCCGTTTCTCATATTCGCTCGTTAATAGATTCCGGAAACACTCGCATTCCACTCTATCCGAGGCATTGAATAACGCGCTGCGTGGCTCGCTGCGGTCGCGTATGCAAATTCGCGCGTACAGACAGGAGGGGATAATTACGGAAATTACAGGCAGTCCACTTTGAGGTATGTTACCGCGCAGTTTCTAGTTTCACGTATCTCCACAAAGCGCAATGTAATACAGTCGACTAGATATTATTCTTTGAGTCACTTTCCCAGGAACGTTTCATACTTAACGACGTGTAAGAGGGCGCCTATATTTGGAGAGTCAAAATCGATGAAACCGGCGTCTCTTCGCATTAGACCCCGTCAATCCCTAAACGGGACAAGGTTTCAGCCGTGTGTCACCTCTGTGGCTCGTTGAATCTTCTTGACCATTTTAGAAAGGGCAAAAGGACGCGCGAGGTACCTCTAAGACGAGTGGCAAGATTTTCTTGCGCACCCGCCGAACGAGTTCGAGACAGACGGCTGATGGCGTGTCCGCGGAGGAAAGAAAGAATCTCGTAACGGGATAAACGGGCGATCGAGCATCATCGTAGTACAGTAGTACATTCCGATACATAACGGCGAGGAGGAGGAGTAACGTATATCGCGTCCTGGTCGACCAGGTACGCGTACTGTGAATAGGCAACGATGGTTATATAAAATTTCTCGGAAGCGCGGCCTGAGAGAAGCGTGCATACACTTTTTGAGAAAACCAAGAGGGGACGAGCGGCTACACCGGTGCTCTTGTGCGTGGAATTACTGTTCGCGGAAGAAATTTCTTTGATCGCGTTTGCGAGAACCGTAACAGATTTCCTGCGTAGAGGTTGCTCGGTTTGCTCCTCGCGCGCTCTTTGCAAATTAGATCGAGCTCTTGGATCCGCCAAGCACTTCCGCACGATGCTAGTTTTTAGGGGCATTTTATCCCGGTCGCCGGTAGCGTTAATCTTTATGTGGGCAAGTTCTTTTCTCGACGAGACCGGCACGAACGCGGATCCGCAAGTTGAGAATCCACGCAGAACGCCGATTCCCCTGTTTGGATTCCAATTATTCAACGACGTGTCTCACTGTCCCGAAACTCTCGGTTCTTCGTGAATCCTGACCCCTCGCTCTTTCCTTTCTTCTTTCTTTCTTTCTTTCTTTCTTTCCTTCCTTCCTTCCTTCCTTCCTTCCTTCCTTCCTTCCTTCCTTCCTTCCTTCCTTCCTTCCTTCCTTCCTTTTTTTTTCTTTTTTTCTTCCTTCCTTCTTTCCTTTTTTCCTTCCTTCCTTCCTTCCTTTCTTTCTTTCTTCCTTCGCTTTTCCTTGCATAGATAATAAACCACTAAAAAAGCAAAGTGACTCCACGAATGAATCGACGAACTAAAAAGCTTTACCTTCCACCTCCACGATTTGCCAGCCACCATTTCCTGTTCGCGGAGAGTACCTGCCCATAATCATTATTATTCGCGGCCAAATAGCCGGTGGTTCTCTTTCTCTCTTTCGCGCCACTGATTGATCTTCCTAACTTGAAAATATCGAGGTAGTCAGTATCGCGATAATCTCTGGGAGATACGACAAAGAGATACGGTATATATATTTAAAGTAATATAAAGTTTAGAAAAATTATTCGTAATATAATTGTAACGAACATCGATTATGATATGAAGAAAAATTTTGAGCTAAGCGTTAGGAAAATTTATTTTCTATCTTTCATACCACGTAATAACGACAAGTCAAATTTTGTAAGATTAATTTTATTATGACTTTCCTTAATTATTAAAAATTTGTGCAAAATACTAGATAAAATAATGCGGACACTGTCATATGGCACATACAGGTAGTACTTTTAGTTTCAAAAAGAAGTGAAAAAAAACAAACGATAAAGATGACAGAAATGCACACCGAATGCAAAGTACCGACGAGGTCGTGATTCGTAAAGCCAAGCTGCTGCTCCGTCACCTTCGCAGGTAGTTGGTAGACGAAAGCATCGAGAGAAAAGGACTCGGGCGCGAGAGTAAGAGAGACTAGTGGAGAGAGAAGGGAGAAGAGAGAAAGGTGTACCCCGTCAGGGAGGAGGAACAAAGTAAAGAGACGTGGAAGTGGCAGGACGAAGAAGAGGAGAGTAAAGGCCCCGGGCGAGGTCACCCACCGCCCCCGCCCCCTCACTCCCCCACACACCCTGATTATCCGCCGCCGGGGGCGGGACGCTCTGTAATGAGCATCGAAGAGGTGCTCAACCTTCGACTGCTGAAATTTTCCTGACTATTATTAGCGGAAACTTTAAAAATCAACTAAAAATTTTCATCATATAAATAAGTTAAAAAAAATATACTGTATGCTCTAAAAATGAAAAAGAGAACGAAAAAATTTACATTGTAAGGCATTATAAAAATGCTGTAACTTTGTTACTGTCTTACATAGATATATGACAAATTTATTGACATCTCACTTGCTTCATAATCTACAAATAATATTCTACATCCGCTTTAAAATATAGTCACTGAATAATTGAATTTTCATGTGTAATTTTTCAATGCATTAACATAAAATAAGATATCTAACACATGTACGAGTCGAATTAACTAATAGTTTCTATGCGGATAGGTTAATCCGCAGTATACGTCGTGTCAGGCATAGATTGGAGGACAGTCGCTGACAAGGTCGGTCAGGATTAGGATAGAGCAGCAGGAAGCAGTAGAAGGTGATGGCATAGTAAGCGTTTGAATGGAGGAACGCGGCGTCGTCGGCTGTCTACGAAGACACCCGGATGATCGAACGATGTTATTTTAAGTTTTCCGTGGGGGCCCTCGGTTCTCTCCCGCCTCACCCTAATCGGCTGTCAGCCACCCCCGCGTGAGACCAGCGGCCCACCCCTGCAACGCTTAATACACACGCGCGCGCGCGTAACACACGCGCGCAATTTCACCGATCGGGAGAGGAGCAGCAGCCTGACACGACCCCCCACGGACAAGATTCGCCCTTTTTTTTCTCCTACATCGAGATTCGCGGCGAGGATTCATGCCTCTCGAGGGGTCAGATTCAAAACGCTTTACACTCTCATAACCGAGACCTGTTGATTCGACAACCCCCGAAAATCTCAACTACTTCGTCGTCAAAACGCGAATTACAAGAGTCCTTTGGCGCATGTTCATCTAAAGGTGCTCTAGCTGACATGAGTAATTTTTTATTTACAGACAATAAAACTTCTTACTAAAGAAGAGAGTTACCAAGAGAAATGTAATACTCTTCTGAACAAATTGGAAAATGATATATTTCAAGTTTGGATAATAAATAAAAAAAAGTCGTCAAGAGATGAAAATCTTCTCTACTAATGTTTTCACTAAATATGAACAAGCCAAGAGTCCTGAGAGCATTCCACCACCATTAGCAACGCAACACCTAGTCGACTACCGAGGCTCGGTGTTCTCAAACAGAGGATAGACCGTGAAGATGGAGTCGCTTCAGGAAAGTTAGAGTACCCTTGCAGAGCTGTGCGGCTCGTTTGATGGCTCTCCTCTTTCTCCGTCCTGGACCATCCACGTGTTTCCACCGGCTGGCCGTTTACACCATCAGGTTTGGTGGCACATATTATACACCCGAGGAAGGAAGCAGAAGAAGAGGCCGAATGACGAAGACAGACGGAGCCAAAGGCAGCGACAGAGCGAGAAGGAGAGAAGGAGAGAGCGAGACAGGCCGTTGCTTTCTTGGGCCCGGCGTGCTTATTGCGTGATATTAGCCACGGTGGCTGCCGCCACTGCTGGGATAATCATAATCTCGAAAGGGGGACAAAACACAGGCCCCGAATCGCATAACGCTGAATTTTACGACTTCTGGCATAGAGGAGACGCGACCGGATGCAACGCGGCTTTTTATGCTCTTCTAACAGCCCCCGACTTGATATCACGCCCGGAGATGGACGGCTTTTCGAAACGTCTCTCCGACCATCGTCGGATTCGCTCAGCTGTCATTTGAACGAATACGAAAGTGTCGACGGACAAGAGGTATGGGTAAGAGGGAGGAACGAAGTTAGCCAGCAGCGAAGTCGGAAATTACCCCGCGAAGATTTCGCGAAGAACGCGAAAAAATTGCGTTTCAGCTCCCACGCACTACCGAAACGCGATAAGAAAAACACAACTGGTTATCTTGATACTAAAATGTTATCTTGAAACACAAAATGCATCTTTTCCTTGATATATGCAAATAAGAAAAAATACATTAATATTCTTATAAAGTTACTCTAGAATGCAGGTGCATAACCTGTTACAATTGCAAGTACTCGGAGCACTTTTTGCCTGGATTTGGTATCCTTGCGATATAAAACTAGTCGGTCACCGATACTTTCCACACCGCTGGAAGTTATTCTGGGAATTCGTACTAATTTACACGTTTGCATAGGCGCACGATCGAGCTGGTGCGCGCTATAAAAGAAGCAGAAGGAAAGAGGGAGAGAAAGAGAGAACGGGCACCCAGCGGCGTTACATCGCGTTTCGCAATGCCGTATGAAATCAACGGCGAATGAGGCACTGAATGGAGGCGAATTGCGCTGACGGTAAGTCAACGCGATTCGAAGCACAGACTGCGTAATAGGAGGGGTATTTTTTCACGGAAGAGAGAGATGCTGAATAGAAGGTTCCGCGACGATTTTTATAGTGGCGTAAGTACGGTCTTATAATCTCTGGGAAATTGAGATTGTGAGTCACTCACCGTAAGGTCGCTCCGCAATGGGTTCGCACGAGTCTGCAACAGAAAGCATTTCGCATTCGATCAGCCTTACTCCGCGGCCATAAGTGAGGCGATTAATTATTCGTAGTGGATACTAGCCGGCCTTTTGGGTCTTTCCGATGCCCGCTGTGATCAAGATAGGACGTCGCGTAATATTCTCGAAGAGCGAAGGGGAGCGTCGCGATTATTAATTGAGATTTATAAATGACAATATCGTAGAGGTTGCGATAAGATCGCGCGCTAGTGAGACAAAGCTCACGCGGCACTATAAGATAAGATTTCAAATTACGTGATATCAAAACAGACATTTTCGTTAATGTCTTTCTAATTCTACTTTACGGTAATAATACTCGCCGTAGATGTCTGTTAGACTATATTCGATGGTCTGTTGCACGACACGATGGAACTATCGCTGTGATTTCTAATTGTTATAATCCCAAATAATTATCCCCTACTATCAATAGCGTTTTAGTCTCATTTCGAAAAGATTAATCGACAAGACTGTCGGGAATATACACGGATCTTGAGTGAGTTCAGCTGGAAAGGATCCGGCTAGAAATTTATCCCATGATCTTGATCAGGTTGATTCCAATCAGTTATTTGATTTGTATAGGATGGTGTTATTGGATCCTGATAAGTCATGTCATGTCACGCAACGTGGCAATCAGGACTTTATCAATAATAATACGGAGAAAAAGTTTGATTGGATTAATCAGATTTCTGATGAAATATGAACGATCCAGAAATTTCGGTTGAGGTTAGCAAAATTCTTAACCAAAATAATTAACTAAAATTAACTAGAAATCTTGATAACTTAGATTGAATTCTTCAATCGGAATTTTTAGATTCCGATTTACATTTTACCGGAAATTTGGTTATTGAACCAAACTCTTTTTTCCCGTAAAGGGTTAATTAGAATTTTATTAATAATATTAGAGCCCGCGACAACATTACCTTATACAAATCAGATCACTGATTAGGATCAAAATGGTCATGGAGTAAATTTCTAGTCGGGAAAAACAATGTGTTAAGTCACACCTGTCACACCACTATGCGCGTAGAGGAAGTCAGCGCGGATAATTTTACAGTCGATTTTTTGAATTCTCTTCTTCTCAATGACGCAGGTTAGCGCTACACGTATCGACATGCCCGCTCATCCGTGACGGTTGCGGCGCGTTCGTGATTCACTCCCGATATAATCGACGCAATCTCGACGCAATCGCGGCGGCGATTCTGTTAGAGCGCACTGGCCGGCTGCCTTTTTTTATCTCCCCCCTCGTAATTTGCATACGTTCAGAGAAAATTCCCGCGATAATTTATCCAACCGCAGATCTCATCGCGGCCGGTAAAGGAGCCGATCGCCGTAAGTGATTTCTAACCGGTCGCGCGAGAGTCGCTTGTAATTCGCGCTGTAATGGAGGGCCTTACGTAATGCCTCGGAGATCCTCGCACAGTGCTCGCTAATGTGCCGAGCCGGCTAATAGCGTCGCGTCCTGAACCCGGGATCGGATCGGGGCCCGAAGGCACGCGTCGCGCGTACAGCCGTGCGTAAAAGCGAGGAAGTTTTAAATGGTACCTCGAGTAGTGCCGGCACCTGCTAAAGCCAAGAGAGAGAAAGAGATCGACTCGGCGGGAGCCGGTAAATGTCTCACTCAGGCCGCGCTCGTACTCGGCTTTAATGGAAGCCGCTAGGTAGGTCATCGGCTGTCATAAACGCTCTCGCCTGTCCAAGTTTTCTCGGCGGCGCGGAGCGTGTTAATAGTCTCATTAGATATCGCGGCGCAGTGACGCACCGCGATCGATCAAGCACCACTGAAGACTTGCAATTTTACGCGTGGGCTTCTAGTCGGGGTCTGTTTACGTAAACGTTGATCGAAGTTGAACGAGGTTCTGTCCGTTTATCTAGGAGTCCCGCTACGTCAAAGGGGTTTTCGTTCAATTATCGTCTCTAGGATACAAAGTGTATCAGATATACGAGTCCTACTGCTTACGTTCCTTTTGCATCGAGCGTCATCTATTCGATGAAATGTCCGATTATATCATAAATACGTAATCATTAATTTCAAGTAAAACGCAAGACGAATGAATAAAACGTGAAATGCGACGACGTATTTGCGTAATTATGTCATAACCGTTCTTCTGACGTTGTGCCCGGTACAGGATACCGGCATTATCTTTTTTCTCCTCTCAATTATGACATCGACTTCTACAGTCATTAGCCTCGACATTAGCGCCAATGGGACACGGTCTTCCCAGGCTGTCAACCATTCAAGCATTGACCGTATCAAATGTTACTCAAGTTTGTTAATTAACTCCTCCACTGCCGACGAATCCAGTATAACTATTATAACAGCACTATCATTATTCCACAGATGTGTCGCTTACTCGTACACGTTTTATGCGATATCTCGCATATTATAAATACAAAAATTGTTAGATCTTTGTAATAATATAGGAGCCACTCTTAGAAGCCATCTGATTCTCTCCCGCGACTTACCAAGATATAAAATACTCCCGCACTGTTACTTGAAGCGCGGGATTACGCTGACCGAAGCGAAGTATGAAATTGAGAGAGAACTCGTCGGCAAACCGGAGACAGAGTGTTTTAGAAAATACTCACGCGTCGAGTTAATCAGGCCGTTATTATTCTCGCGCTAACTGACGTCCTTGACAATTATGAGACAATGATTTCACTTCACGCGCGGACATAGCGCGAATATGCCGAAAAAACGCGCGCTCGTTCCACAGCTCGTTTGCATCGCGACTTGTCGCGTTTTTCATGCTGATAAGCGGCCGACGAGGATTCCCACCGGCAAATATTTGGCGACGATCTTCCAGGAACCCCGAGACGACAACAACGACATCAGAGTCAGCCGAGCGATGTCACGACGTATTGAATGAATCGAGTTTCATTAGTTTCCACATTGACGCGCGTCTGCGTTCAACAATCTACCACCGCACCCGGTTGCGATCGAACGCGTAGATTACGTTCGACAGGACGAGACGTCCTGCATCTGGAATTTCCGGAGGACCCGCCGTAGGAGTCCGCACAGACGGACGCGAGTTTGCGAATAAAACAATAAAGAAAAAAAGGAAAAAGAAAGAAGGATGCTCGCACCCGTCCGTTTATCCGTCGCTAATCGACGACCACAACGTCGTATTCTAATATTTTCCGTGAAGCGTCGCGCGCCATCACGAATTCTGATTGAGCCGGGGCCCAATGTGTGTATCGCGCGCCGAAGGTGCCAACGGGGTCGGCAGCGATGGCCGATAAATATTAAACGACTTTCCACCTGTCGCGTCGTCATCGTCCTGGAAGGGAGGTAGGGGGAGAGCAACTTCCGAGAGGGAGATGACTGAATGTTAATTAGCGAGGCGTGACAAGTGTTAAGTAATCCATCCATCTACCTACGTGCCAGGAGGGAGGAGCCTACCTAACGCTCGGTAATTAACGCGACACACTCACCGCGACCACGCACCATCGGCGGCACATGGCTCGTTCTTGCGAGCGAGCGAGCGAGCGGGCGCGCAATTAACCGGCGATTTAACAGTTAACCCCGAACAGGTGGGAGAGAATGGAGAGGGGGAGAAAGAAGAAGCAAAGTGGTCGTATACAATGAATACTGTTTCGAATCCCAATGCAGGCCCTCGTTACTCTTTTTTCCTTAACACCTTGTGTAAATGAGTGATATGTTTAATTAATAATGATGGGGTATAACGTGCTCGTTTTAGATATTAGACTATCTTATCAAAAACTTTCTTTAACTAAATTCTACTCTTCTTGATTGCATGTGACGCTGGGGGTCTATGAGACTCGAACGAATATTCGATTGTTCGTCAACTTTCGTACAGAGTCCGGGAGAATTTCAGAATAGCGCAAATCTGTCTGCAGATTTTAATCATATTATGCTGCTATCTTATAACTAAGGTTTTTCTATATCCATCCATTACATCCATTACATGGAAGGAAAAAAGATGTGTCCACAAGTACTGATTTTCAACAAAATTATATAATAGTTCAATTGCTTGAGTCTAACAACCCAAATATATTATATATCCAGAGATATGTATTATATATCCAAAAAAATATATATAATTGTACGCGGAGGATTAAAATGTATTAAATCACTTATCGTAAGTTATAATTATTGTCTTTTTGTTTTAGTTTTAATATAATTTTTACACATAGAAAAATATATATTGCATTTAAGTAAATGCTTTTTTTTCGATAAAATATTGTAATATTTTCGTAAAAAAATAAATTTTTCTTTTAAGTATGATAGTGAGTTTTTAAAAATTTATGATAAGTATATTTCAAGACTATTATCAAGAAAATATTCTTGATTGGAGATAAACATTACTTAAATTAAGTAAAATTAATTAATTAATAACTTCTCTTACACATATATACACATACAGCAGTATAATAATACATGTTTGTGTGCATGCATAATTTCGAAGTCGTAAATTAGAATAAATTTACGCCAATACGTTTTGAGAAGTACTTGGTTACTGTTAGAGTTGAAATATAAAAGAGACCACACATTAGAACAAGCACTTAATGTACGATAAATAGAAACGTAAGCAAGTGGTGGTAAGTTGAATTTATAAGAGGAACCTAACGAATGGTCCGATTAAATTTGCGGCACGTTGTGCCGGTGCGAAATGTACTCGCTCGCATATAAATGTCGCGACGCGCGCGAGCTCGCCTGCCTCGCACCGCGCTCGCAAATGAAACCGGTCGCCGTGACGCGTCGACTCGTATTAATTAGAATGCCCGATCCGATGCTCGGCGCAGATAAACGGCCGGCGCAACGTTACAATGTTACCAAACAATGCCGCCGTTGGTCCCGCGCGTCTGGACGTCGCGGGACAGCCGCCGATGTCTGCGTTAAGGGAACATTTACATCTCGGCCGGGTCGAGGTCCGGGCCGCCGCCGGTCGAATCGCCGAATCATAGTCGTGCCGATCCGCGCTTGTCGATTAGATGTATCAGTGTAATTAACAACAAACAA